AAAAAGCAAGAACAAATTCTTTTGGAGGATTTGTGTCTGACTTAGGTCTTAAATTATAAGAAAGAATTTGCATGCCTGGGAAGGAAGTAAAAGGCTCACAGAAGCATAGGAGAAAAATTTGCCCAAACATTATAATGTAAAAAGATATTAAGTAAGATAGTGACAGTAGCTCATTCCCTGTTTTCTTTTGATGTGAAGTAGTTAAGAACATTCAAAGGTATAAATAACTTTTGCCTAGAATGGCATAAGATCTGGAATAATTTTTAAAAACTGACATAATGGCTAATTATTCTTACGGCATTAAGACAGGGTAATGAGCTGCAAAAACTGAAGACCAACCAGCCAGGCAACACTAAACAAAACAATTTTGCCTCTGTAAGAATGTTTCAAAGGCCAATTAAAATATTTTCTTCAGTTAATAGCATGCTTTCAAAATTTACGTGTGGGTCCTCTAATGTAAACAAAGATCTTCATCCCCAAAATTGCTTTTGCTCTGACTTTTAGGGCTTGTTCAGTAATCCCACGGTTGGGAAAGGGGTTGTATTACTGAAGCCAATTGACTTTATCTTTGGGCTGATTAAACTTTGACTTTAGAAGCCCAGAACTATACATTTCCTCCACATTGTCCCCTCCATTCCTCTAAACCCCAGGGAACAAGCCTTGTGAGTATGCTGGAAATCATCGCACTTTCTCTTGACTTCTGGTTAGTGAGGAATGCTTAGGGCTGGCATCAGGTTACAAGTTTGTTATTTCCATTTTTCCCCCTTTTACGATTTCCCACCGCCACAGCATGTTACAGGGTAACCACGCTCCCTAACCCCAAGCACTCTCTTGGATCCGGATTCCAGGAAGCACCGTCCTGAGAGCTAAGCTCCTGTGAATGCCAGACAGCTGGCCTGCTGCTTCACTGTCCCCAAAATAGAGCCTTCAGAGAGTTGTGTTCCAAGCAGGATGCTGTCCCTAAGGGGATTCTTTGAAAGTCAGTTTGCCTTTTAGCTACATTCTCTCTGCTTCCTAAAAGGACTCAGGGTCCTCACAGCACAAGGATAGCTTAGAGTCAGTCTGTCAATGCGGACAAAGAGAATCAAGATCTACAGAGTGGAGCGGGTGGCGAGGGAAGCACGCCACACTGATAAATCCCCTAGAGCTGGTGGCTGGGCATTGGAACTGCAGACATTCTGGGCTGGATAATTCTTTGCGAAGGGGACATGGTGTTCATTGTAGGACTTCAGCAGCACCCTTGGCCCCTCTTCACTGGAGCCACTAGAAGTCCTCAGTTATGATGCCTAAGCAGCATCTTCAGACATTGCCACCTGTCCCCTAGGGGGGATGCTATTCACCCTGGGTCGAGATATCTGCCCTAGATTACCTAGAAAATACCTGACTTTATACCTCCAGGTCATCTCATTTTCTCCTGAATTTCTCCTGTGATTGCAAGTCTTATTATTATATATGGTACATGACCATCATAATTCCTGTTCCCAGAGCACAATGGTGATCTCAGACTGGTTGCCACTTTGTGCTTGTGTGGTCCGTGGTGTATCCTCTATTCCTCTCTCTAAAGTGGGAATAATATGATTGTGCAGCTTATCAACAGAATATTTCTGAAGCACTTTTTACTGTGTCTGGTACGAAGTAAGTGCTCTATAAGGTTTACCTAATTGTGTGTATGTGTGTGTTTTCTTATTTTCCTTCTCCATCCTGAGTCGTGGCTACAGTGAGTGAAGAGGGGTGGTGTTCTGATGGAGGAGGAGGAGGCAGAGAGATAGCATAGTAATAGGAGATACCCTAAGAGGAGTTCAGTCTTGGGGCTTGGGAAGGTCTCATTGTCTTGTAGATGCCTGAATCATTCCCCAAACTCTTCCTTTCACCTGCAAGTAGTTGAATGGGATGGATGAAAAACCCTCAAGAACCCAGAGGGAAGGGACTGTAGTAGGTGTTTAAGGAGACAGGGTGGCAGTGGAGTATGGAGAACAGAGAGAATCCCCAAGGGTGTGTTTCCCCTATCAGCTATGTGCATGGCATACTGTGGAGGGGTCAAGATGTGAGTGAGGCTGTTCGGACTGCACGGGAATGGTGGGACCCCTCATCTTTCCTTGTGGATCTTTTGTGGATTTGAAAATACAACTTGCAGGGACAAGCCTTCTTCAGTATCCCAAAAGCCTGCACTGGGTCTGGTAAATAAAAACTAGCCATTTATGGTATTCTCTGGAGATCAATGCGGTGCTCAGACAGTAGTTGTAGTTGCCTTAGAAGTACTTCTCATGGTGCCCAGAGAGCTGGGGATGGCGTTGGAGGATCCAAATTTAATTATGATGCAATCCATTAGCCCACAGGCAGAGGCTGTGACCCTTGTAAGTACTTTATTCAGTGAGACCATTACGAAGGAAGGAAGCTTCTGCAGAAATGATTCTAAACAGAAAACCTGTAGAGTTAGAAAGCTCTGAATTTTTATCCTTGAGACTGCACAGCTAAAATGGGAGCAAGCAAGACAATTTTAGTATATGCCAAGGCTGGCCTGCAGAGGGTAAGAGGGGCTTTATTTACTTCACAGGCTTTGTAGAGATAATTTTTCAGTTCACTGGTTCCTTGTTTGAATCATTGCAAATCGAGGAGAAGATCTGTTCCAATGGGAAGTATTCAAATTCAGAAGGATTAAAAATAACTACAATTTGTATCGTTTCCATGGGAACTCACAACCTCACTTTCATAATATGCTAGGGGATTTCCATTTGAAATAAAAAGGTAATGAAGCCCAAATATGAGTGTCCTAGTACACACATAAGATGCTGTTGGGAGCCAAACTTCTGACTTCATTCTTCTGATTCCTTGTAGGTTCCAGGAGAACCATTTTTTGGAGAAGATGAAAAGAGACCCTTGGTTTGTTACTGTGTGGAAAGGCAAGTTCCAAACTTTGTAAATTAGTTCATGAGCAGCTCAACATAAAACCTTTGCAATAGAAAAAGTCCTCATGCATCACTCAAGGTCAATGCTAGAAGCTACATGACAGAGCCCTGGTCTTGTTTGGAACCTGGAAGGTCCAAGTGGACCTGGGCAGGCATTTCTATGTGCTAATGAACCTCCTGGCACCCTTGCCAGTGCCTACAATCTGCTGGGCCTATGCCAGTCTGCTAAAGCTCCATAACAAAAGTGCCAACACAGTTTTTTTTTTTTTTTTTTTTTTTTTGCCAGAAAATCCGACTTTTATTTTTTAAATACTGTGAAGGAGGAGGGGGCAGTGTTCCCCTGGTGAGACAGGGCCAGAAAGGGCCAGAGAGCTGAGCTAGGGATCGTCAGCGAAGGCCCGGTGGGTGTTGGGGAAGCGCTGGGGGCTGTAGTTGGGGTCTTCTTGCAGCCACTTTTGTATGTCAGACTGGAGCTGCTGCCTGTAGCTCTCCTGAACCTCTGGTGCCTCCAGGTCCCGGCTCAGGCTCTCGGGGCCGAGCTCCGGCTGCTTTAGCTGCCCAGCTCACGGGCTCTGAGAGAAGCAGCTGGGGGCCCTCACCCTGCATCATCTTGCATCTCTTGGCAGGCATACCACTGAGGTAGGCATCACTCAGGGGCAGCTGTGGTTTCATCTTCCGCAGTGAACATTTGTTTTCTCACAGTTCTGGAGGCTGGAAGTCCAAAATGCAGGGGTAGGAGGGTTGGTTTTCTTTGAAGCCTCTCTTCTTGGAGAGAGCTTGGAGGCATCTCTCGTGGCTGTGATTTCCTAGGCCCTCCTTCTCATCCCTGGCGCCTCTTCCTCCTGTAGGATCGGTGCCCTGCCTGTATGATTTGAATGAACCTTAATTATCCCTTTAAACTCTACATCTAAAAATAGTTACACTGGAGGTTGGTGCCCTACCCGCCATATGAATTTTAGGAGGATGCATGCAATTCAGTCTGTGATAGGACCTCAGACAATGACCCTGAATTCATTAAGAAGCTGGTGAGGGAAGGAACCAGCTCCTCCAACTGGTGCCCCCAAGGTGCAGCGCTAGTAATGCTCTGGATGGACTGAGAAGGAGCTGCATCCTCCTACCTCAAAGTGGGTGGTGGGAAGCACATGAGAGAGGGATTCCTGGGCTGAAAGCTGGAGAAGAGGAGAGCAAGGACCGAATACCTCCGAGCTAGGAAGGGCAATATGGATAGCAGAGCTCTGAAGTGGAGAAGAGGAGCTATTTCCATGCAGGGACAGTCAGATGTCCTCTGTCTTTGGCTGACCCATGAAATAAGGTGGATGCAGGCAGAATGAGTGCTCTCCGAGTGGCTGGATGATGCCTGCTGTTTGTTCATGCAGTGAGAAAGGGGGAACGCTGAGAAGGTGCAGCAGAATCCACAGGGGCTGAAGGGCTCAGGAGAGACTGAGCCAGCCATGAGATGGATCCCTCTAGAGGAAGGCTGAGGAGCTCGGGCCAAAGAGCAGAAGAGCCCAGGTTTGTCAAGAAAGAATGTGGTATCAGGTAGCCTGTGATGTCAGGTGGGTTTTTGCTGTGTGCATCTGGCCTTCAGTACACCAGCAATTACCACCACAGAACATGCTTCAGAGTTGTCACCCCTACTCCCATCTCAGGTTGAGGCAGCTGGGGTTTTCAGTCATTGGCTGAGGACTGCTTTTCAGATGCATTAACTCTGTCACATTTTAGGTCTGTCGCATACAGTCCATGCGGACTACCAAAGCCGGAGATCCCCTCAGAGAGAGGATCTGATGCTTGAAGTTGAAAATCATTGGATTGGAAGCACCTATCATATCTGCTAAACTGCAGCTTGGTGTGTCTCCAAAAAAGCATGGTCATACTCATCAACCCTCTCCCTTGTGTGGTGACATAGCTCCCTCTCTTGACACCCTGTGTGTTAGACTTCACCACTCCCCTGACACTTCAGTTTGAAGTTACTGGGCTGCCCTCATTTTCCGATGAGGAACCTGGGTCTCAGAAAGTTCAAATGATTCGCCCAGTGTCACACAATGGTGAATGATGGAGTTTTCTTGTTTGCCACATACCAGGGATGTCCCAGAAGCAGGAAGCAGCCTTTGTTGTGAAGAAGAAGCTCTGACTTTGCCAAGGTAGAAGACTTTAGCGGAGGTAGGTGGAGTCACATGGAGGTGGCGGTTTTCTCTGGGCCCCCCTGGTGCGCCGAGCCGGAATCAGCAAACCGGCTGTCAGTAGTGACTCACATGGGACAAAGAGTCTCCTGAATCTTTGCCCTGCTGCCTTTTCCAATTCACCCTGGACTCTTGGACAAAGCACACACTCACTCCAGGGATTATTTTTTTCTCACTCAACCAATTTCCACCATCCTTCCAACCCTGACACTATTAGATGGTGACATAGGATTTCATTTTTATGTTGGGCTGGATATAAAGGAGCAGAGTGGAACGCAGTCTCAGTTATTTTTTAATGCAGACAGTGGTTTTCATAGCCGTGCTATATCAATCAGGAAAGATTTTCACAATTTCCACGGCCATGGTCCTTGTCTCTGTGTGTGTGTGTGTGTGTGTGTGTGTGTGTGTGTGTGTGTGTGTAGAGTAAACTATGGCGGGAATATTGAGGGAAATGGCTAATTAGGGCTCATAATGGTAAGGGCTGGGAAAGGTAATGTGCTAAAGGTGATGTCTTCAGGAGAAACATACAGGTTTCCTCTCATCTTGTGTGAGTTTTTGCAGCTTCTCAGCTATTTGAAGCCAATGTCCTTTCCTAGGACAAGCTAAGATATTCTCTTTTACCCCAGGATGAGTCTCAAATTATTCTTGGTGTAAGGAATACACCATGTTAGAGGTTTTATTTTTAATGAGCAGAGACTGAAAACCCAACTGGGGGCAGATCGTGATGTTTCTTTTCCTGCCAGAGGGGTCCTTGGGCTCCATTCTCCAAGGTTGGGCTCCACGCTCTTCTTTTTAAATTTTTTTCACTTATTCATTTTTTTACTTTTAGTAAAAGTTTTATTTTTAAAAGTGTTTCAGAATAACAGAAGAGTTGTAAGGATTATAAAAAGAGTTCTTAAATACCACCCACCAGTTTCTTGGATTCCTAAACCATCTTACATTAATCAGTGTGCTACATCTGTCATAAGTAATAAGCCAGTGTCTCTACTTTGTTACTACTGAAAGCTATCACTTGATGACTTCCTTACACTTTACTCATGTCATCTTTCTGTTCCAGGATCTTGTCCAGCACATCTTACTCCATTTAATTGATATGTATATCTCGAATGCTCCTTGGCTTCGATGCGTTTGACTCTGAGGATTATCAGAGAGGCATTTTGTGGGATAACTAATCCTGAGCTGGTGGTATTTTTTCCCCCTCTCTTTCTTGTGATTAAACTTGAGTTTTTCACTTTTTAATAGAAAGGCCACAGAGGCCAGGTGTCCTTGTGAACACATGCTGACAGAGGTCCTGGCTGCGCTGTGACAGAACTGTGGATGTAAACCACAGTCACCCATCCGCAGGGTGTCGGCCGGTTTTCCTCCTTCCTCCCTGCACCCAAGGCCTCATGCTCTGCTCCAGGGTGGGGAACTACATAAATTGTTTGGAATTCGTCTGCAGGGGAAATTTGTCTGTTCTTCGCCATTTATTATTTATTTACCACTCATTTATACACATATGAATCCCCAGTCATTTATTTTATACTTTGTGATAAGAATCCCAAAAGATTTTGTTTATTTTGCCCTTCAAATTCTTCCAAATTTGGCCATTGGGAACTCTTTCCATTGGTGCTTGTGTTCTTTCCCGTTCGCACTGAGGTGGGGATTTTATTTTGCCTTGTTTTCAGCACTTCCTCACTTTCTGGCATGACAAGTACGATCCAGGCTTGACTTGCTTCTACCTTGCTCCAACCCTCGATCAGGCTTTTGTTTAAAAATCTAAGAGTCCCCATAAGGTCTCAGCAGAGTTCTTCAGAGCGAAAGCTTTTAATTTTTCATCATTTTTTTCTTTCATGAATTATGACTTGGGGATTGTATGTAAAAAGTCATCACCTTATTCAAAGATCACATCACTTTTACTCCTGCATTTTCTTACAGGAGTTTTATAGTTTTTAAATTGTGCACTAAAGTCTTTATTTCTTTTTTATTTTTATCTTTATTCATTTTGTTGGTACATTTTTAGGTGTACAGTGCAGTTACATTCGTCACTGGGATTTTGTACCTTTATATGACAGATCTTGGCTCTCATTTTCCCCCATACCCTAGCCCTCCCTTCTCCCCTCCCCTCCCATTTACAAAGACTTTGTTTCCATTTTTTCCTTTTCACATATTTTTTCTTTCCCCTTTTTATCTTTCCCCTACCTCTCCCACTTCCTCTATGTTTTAGACCTTTTCTTCCTATTACACAAAAGCAATTATACATTTTGATCCTTATTTACACTTTTAGTTTTTCACACCAGAGAAACTGTTTGGTATTTCCACATGTGGGACTTATTCATTAAGAGTATGGCCTCTTTTGTGTAAGGAGTAATGTCTGCGATAAGGTTTATATGGACTTCCAACTTTATTCCAATCTGCATCATTCTAATTTGCTGCCCTGTTTTAGACCTTATATCTTCCCTTCAAAGCTTCTGCTCCTTATTTTCCTTAGTCCTCCTCTTTTATTCAGTCTGCTACATGAACCTTCTTGTCCTTTCTTTAACGTAGTTCTGTAAAACGTATCAGTGCCTATGACAATGGAGACAAGGGAGAGCAAGCAGCAAGCTGGTCTACAGTTTTCCTAAGGATTCTCATGGACCTAACAATAAATTGAAAAGATACTCATAGAGGAACTGAGGTAGCAAGAGAATAAAGAACTTAGTCTGGGTTAAGTGCCAGAGGTAACCTAGAGAACACTGTTCAGATCACCGCATTTGTCCTGCAGATCCTTGACCCAGTGAGATGGTTCCTTCCTCTGGACAATATTGGCAAACCATGACTTGTGCTCAAATCTTGCCGCTCACCCATTCTTGCAATTAAAGTTTAGAAATATTTGAGGGTCATTATTTTTAAAAATTTCATAACAGAGAAGTTGCAAAAGTAGTAGAAAATAATGAAAAAACAAACAAACAAAAACCAAAACTACAGACACATATTTCCCCCAGAAGTGCTAAAGAATAAGTTGCAAATGCAATGGGCTATTTATTTATGAACTGATTCTTGAAGGACATAGGTGATTAAAAAACAAAACTCAGTTGATAAGTTGAGCTAATTTACATTTCTTAGTTGGATAAAAACTTGTAAGCTGTCCCGCGAAGCTGACCAAGCTGGGCTGGAATTTGTACTTCTCCTGCGTTAGCCCCTGGAGTGCAGAGATTACAGGCATGCACCGCCGTGACTGGCTACATCTTTCTTTTTAGAGTAATAGTCCCCAACTATTTTTGACCTGAGGGATTGGGTTTTGTGGAAGATGATTTTGTTCCACAGAACAGGAATGGGGAAGAAGACGGTTTTGGGATGATTCAGAGTAATGCCCAACCTAGATCCCTGTCATGCACAGTTCACTGTAGGGGTTTGGACTTCTGTGACAATCTAATGCCTGTGCTGATCTGAAAGGACGTGCAGCTGAGGCAGTAAGTGAGCAATGGGGAGTGCTGTAAATACAGATGAAGCTTTGTGCCCTCATCTGCTGGTCACTTCCTGCCGGTAGCATCCTGTGGCCAGGGGCTTGGGAGACCCCGCTCTTGGACAGTTGGTGTATTGTGTGCATCCATAGATTTGGAGTGGTCATTCATGCTCCAAAGAAAGAGGCTGTCCTGTGTGATCCCAGAAGCAATGATACTTTTGTCCTTGTCCGACATGCATGAAGTGATAGATCGCAGACGGGACCTGCTGCGTAACTTGTGATGTTCAGTGCAAGTTGAAAATGCTGGGCTCTTGTTAGAAAGACAGCAAGAGCAAAACATCCCCCGAAAGAAACAAACAAAAACCACAACAACTAGTGAAGCATTTCAAGATAGCGACAGTGGAGCTCAGTTAAACCAAATGCAGGACCCATCAGAGTATGGGCTCCTGTGCAGTTGCTCAGGCTGCCCACCAAATCCTCCAGCTTTGGAGCTCAAAGGGTCATCAGGGCTCCTATTCCTCTATTGTGGTAGCTTCATTTTGAGAGCTAGCAATGCCAGGCTTCTCAGTAGATCACAGGAACAAGTCCAGCAAATTTTTAAAAATTCTGGCAGCCTTAGGGGGCCCCACAGGAGGGCGCTCTTCTCCCACTTGGCACGTGTTGCTGAATGGTGTCCCTGGAACAGAAGAACAGATCTGGGTCCACAAACCACTCAGCTCCAGCCTGCTCACCAGCTCTCTCGACTACCTGGAACTTATTTTTAGGTGACCTATGGTGGAGAGGATTGGCAGGGAATTTTCATGCCTGAGGGTTGGTTTCACAGGAAATGTTTCACAGTTGGATTTAATACCACTCACCTCTTGACACTGGTGTGTTGGTTTTATTCTTGTTTCCTTGCGTTAAGTGATATTCTTAGATTTTTCTTCCATTCCCCTTTCCTACCCAGTGTCAACAGTTCTCTCCTGTACCTGTTGTTGGTCCCTCATTGCTACGAGGATTCCCCGCCCCCACATCTGTTGCCCCTCTTTCTCCGAGATGAATTAATTGCTGCCACATTCTTTCCTGCCTTTTCCAGGATTTATTTTATTATATATATTTTTACTTTTATTCTTTGCTCTAATTTGATTCTCCTCCTAATTTGTAGACCTTCAATCTAAGCTTTAACTTTCTTCATGCAATCCAAAGTGACTATATAGCACAACTCATTTCTTTTTTTTTTGTTGTTGTTTTTTTTTAGTATGTTTGCAGTTCCTGTACTTTGTAGTCATCTGGGGGAGTGGGTGCATATACACATCACAGTTTGTTTCTTTTTTAAAAGTCCTGTTCCCCTCCCCTCTCAGTCTCTCCCTCCTCCTCCAGTTCCTCTGTCACTCTTTTCATTCTTGTTTATTGGTGCCTTTTAGGTATACAATAGTGACATTCATCATTGGGATCTTGTACCTTTACTGGCCTTATCTTGGTCCCCAATTCCCTGGCCTGCCTTCGTCCCCTCCTCCCTTCCCTACTTACAAAGACTTTGTTTCCATTTTTTCATTTGCTCATATTTTTTCTTTCCC